ATTATTAGGAATATATTGTAGACAATTGATTGAAGCTCCAGAGCAATCTAAAGGGGATTTGGCAGTAGTGATATTTACACATCCAAAAGTAGAATTATTAGTAGGGTTTTTTGAATAATTTTGGCAAGTTCCTATATAAATACAATTAGGATTTGCAGCACATGAATACTTAGATGTAATGGATGTGCAGGTTGATGTAGTACATTTAGAGGAAGTTTAATTGTATGAACATTAAGGGGAAGCATAAGCACATTCATATGAGGATAAATCTGAACATGAACATGGAGAGTTAATCATTGTAGTTAGACTATATTAGGTGCATGATGAACAATAACCAGAATCTCCTGAAGTAGAAGTCCATCTTGACATCATCATAGTATTGGAGTAACACAAACTAGATGAGAGAGTAGTTAAGATATTTGTAGCTTATTGACATCCTTAAGTTGGTTACCAAATGCATTAAGTGACACTTGTAGCAGATGGTATTGTCAATGAACTCAAAATATAAGTGCATTCTATTTTATTTGTAATTTATGTGCATTTTGTAGCTACACAAGAACCTGTGGTTGCTTCTCCAGTTGGTTGTTACCAATAGCAAGAATGAACAAACCGTTGACATTACCTTTAAGAGGTAATTTCTGAACATTAAGTAATTTTTTAGCATTATGAAGTATTTTTATTAAACCAACAAATACCATAAGATACATATTTATTTTCACAGTCAGATGGTGTTGTTGTTCCTTAAGTTTCTTTGTTAATTGAACATTATTAGCTTGTTGTAGGTGAGCAAATATACTTTTATTAAAGTGATAAAAGATTTTTTGATATAGCTGCACAATTAATTGAATAACTGGCACATTCTCCAGCATTGACACCTGCTAGATTTGAACATGATGAAAATGGTTAACATAATTATTAGGATGCTGACCATGAACATCTTGGATTGGAACTACATATTTCTTATGTCAATATTTCAGAACATGGTTTATTATAACAATTTGGTATATTTGAGGTAGTTGACCAAGAACATTAAAGATTTGCTTAACAATCATTCTAGTAAATCAATTAATTACAAGCACATTATCCAGGAAAATATAATTATTTCAGAAAACATTTAGTACAATAACCATCTCCATTTTAATTTCTTGATGGTATCCATCTATAAGTAAATCCTGTATTACGTGAACAATTCACTGAATTTAATTATGAAGATGTAATTAAATTTATACAAGTTCCTTTCTCTTTTTACCATTGACATTATTAAATCTCTCCTGTTAGAAAAGAGGATATGATATATGTGCATGATGATGGAGTATTGTAATTAGCACATGTAAGTTATTGACATTAGTCATCTATTAATATACAAATATTTTAATAATAACTACAAATCTTTGGATTTTTTATTTAAGAACATGTTAATATTACACTACATGATCCTTTATCAAATGAATTCCATTAACAAGGACCATCAGATCCAAGATTACCATTACAAGTATTTTAATTTTAATATGAACTACATGTAGTATTTGGAAATTAAGTACAAGTTTTTCCATTGAAACCTTTGCATTGAATAGAATAACTCAAACAATTATAAATATTTAATCCTTGTCCAGTAATTGATTCACAAGAAGTGAAAATTTAACAAACTGAATTGTTCCATCCACATCCTATAGTTTGGGCACAAGCTTAATTAGTATAAATGTTGGAACAATGTTATTATGTACATTTTTGATTCTCCCAAATACATTATTACCCTGTGGCTCCATAACAATCATTTTATGTCATATATTAATAACATTAACAACTTTAAGATGAATAAAATGGAATCATATTTACAGAACAAGAATAACAAATTCCATTATTTCCATAATTGTATGGAATCCATCTTGCTGTTCTATTTGTATTACTAAAACATTGATCTTAAGATAAATTAAAAGGATCTTATATTGGAATACATTAATTGTTAATCAATTCACAAGTCTAAATATTCTTAATAGATGTTAAATTTATAACAAAAGTGCATTATCCAAAGTATTAAAGAAGTGTGCTACATGTTAATATTTGGCAAGATGTACTTATAGTATCCCAATAACAAGATTTAGATCTTAATTAACATGCATATTGAGGTAATTGATTACATGAAGAAACAGCAACACATTTGAAAGTATTATTATTCCAATAACATGCTCCATCACTACCAAGAGCTGTAAGACATTTATTATCCTCATTATTATCTTCACAATTATTCAATTATTTATTACATTAAATTCCATTACTACCAACACATTAAAAATTTTATTCCATACATTAAACTTAAGAATTACCTATTAAATTTGTACATTATCCATTAAATACTTTACATTAATTTTAGTTCCACATACAACCTAATTAAGATGCACATATAGTTTATAATAATATTTAGGAACATTCTAATTATAAACAAAATTCACCATTCCAATAACATTCTAATGATTAAGAACAATCATTATAGCTTAAAAATGTACAGTGACATTAATTTGGAAAAGTGATTTATTCCTAACATTTAACACAATACCCTTTTGTATTTGAAATTGTTATCCAAGTATAAGTATTATGAGTATTTGATGAACATGTATTTTAATTTAATTATGTTAAAATATTAGAAGCTGTCACACATGTATTATTATTTGTATTCCAATAACATGGAATAATTTCAGATGAAAGTAGATTTGGTATATAGAATTTACAATTTAATTATGTTTTGAATGATGTACAATTAATTGATGAACATTAACCATTCAAAGTATTCCATTAACAAGATAATTGATTTCTTAAACATAATGTTTCACTTTAAGTTTAATTACATTAAGAGAATCCTAAACATTAAGTAATTTAGCCATTAGTGATTAAGAAACATACACCATCAGTACCAATATTATTGTAACATTAACCATTAGTATTATACATTACTGAACAAATTGATGTTGGATAAGATTAACAAACTCCATTATTAAATCCTTTACATTAAACATTCATATTTACACATTCTAATTAATTGGTTGGATTTGGTAATTCAGAACAATTAGTGAATGTAACACAACCATAGTTACTATTCCAATAGCATGTACTTAATGAAGCACAAGTAATCTAATTTTTATATTCAATACAATTTGATGGTTCACAAATATTATTATTTGTGTTATAATTACAGAATCCTGAGTTTTTACAATTTTCTTAGGAATTTAATTATTAACATTAACATGAAGATAGTGTTTAAAATTATAATTGATTGGTACCACATGATATACACATTCCTACAGATGCATTATTTGTACTCCATCTATAAGTATTACCTGTATTATTAACACAAGTATCTGATGTTTATAATAATGCTGAATAAGCATTTTCACAACCACCTTAAATTCCTATTGATTAATTCCATCTACATAATTAATATTAAGTTTATTAGAATTATATTAAAATATATGTACAATTTTATTGATTTGTAATTTATGAACATGTTAATTATAAACATTATGAACTTGTTGCATCCCATATACATTAATTCTACCAATTTACACAAAATACAGAATCATTTATCTAATTACAATATTTTAATAATGAACATGAATAATTAGGGGTATTCCAAATACATAGACCTTAATTACTAATAAATTAAGAACATTCTTATTATGATTATTAATTACTACAAGTAGGAACTATAGTTGATGTACTTATACAAGTTCCTCCTTCATAACCAGCACATTATAAACTTTATGATGCACATCCTATTGAATTAACTGTAAATGTTAAATCAGTACAATTATTCAAAATTTAACATTTATTAGTTTTAAAACTCCAATAACAACCAGATACTGTTATACAATCATTTTGAATTGGTATATTAATACAATTATTTTATGTACAAGTTCCAGTTTATGTATTCCATTAACATAAATTATTTTATGAATTACAATCACTTTATAAGACATAATCAGAACAAATACATTAAGATTTTGTTATTATTTAAATTTATTTACATGGACCACAAATACCTTCATTTGGATTACTTTATAATCCATACCATCTAAATAAATAACTTGTATTTGATAAACAATTCTATTAATTCAAATTATTTAGATTTGTTACAGAAACACATTAAGGTGGATTTGTATTTATAGACCAATAACAAACATTTAAAGTATTCAAATTTGTAAAATAATATTTACATGTATCTTCACTTATAAATTGATTACAATTTGTAATTGCTTAACATTAATTCTAATACCATTAACATATTATTCCTTAAGGAGAAACAGATTTGAATTAATTGAATTACTAACATTAATCTTGATATTTAGCTTATGAACATTGATTAATTACTTAACAGGTATTATTAATCAAATAACATGGTCCATCTTTACCAAAATTATAAGAGCAATTATTCTATGAATAATCACTACAATTTGAATTAATTTGATTATAATATAAGCATTATTAAGATACTTAATTAAATCCTAAGCATCTAACATTTTATTTGATACATTCTTAATTATTAGTAGCAATTAAATTTGAACATGATGTAAATGCTGAACATGTAGCAGGATCTTCTAATGTATTCCATTAACAATAATACGAAGCCTTTAAACATTATGATTGATCAAGTTATTAACAATTATTTTATGAACATGAATTATTTGTCCATATACAACCTGGTAATGTACTACAATCATTTTGATTTGTTAATTGTATACAACTACACATAGTTTATTAAGTAACTATTATTTAAGATGTAGCTAAACTTATTAACATAGCTACTAAGATGAATGATTTCATTAATTTTAATATTGATAAATCCATTTTAAAAAATCTAATTATTTCTACCATAACTACTTAAAATAAATAATTATAACCAAGATTTCTTTTTATATACTATCAAATACAAATAAACATATTATCACCAGATATCTAACTGTAATTTGTATATATATATAATATTTTAATTAACATATATATATTAATCATTTATATTCAATTGGAAATAATACTACCTTGTTATCCTAAAATTGTTATAATATCTAATTTGCATTGCTGTCTTTGAATCTAATAATTTAGCTGCTTACCTCATCAATATGGCTGATTACACATCTCCTTAAGCTGATATCACTTTAGCTTAAGTACTTTGGCTACCATTGATAAAGTATTTTATAAATCAGCATTCAATTAAATATCCTTAATTAACATATTTTCAATATCTATTCCCCATTCCCATACATGTTCATCCACAAAACCCTCTAGTTATTATTGTACTTCTGCTCTTTCTCCAAAAGATCTAGTAAAGTCTGGGAACCTGCTTATACTTTTTATTGTGGCCAATCTCAATTATGTCACTGCTTAATGTAAATCATTTATTAAAAGATCGATCTCATGGGAATAATTATTCTATAATAAACTTTTGCATCAATGCTAACTACAATATTATCTTTTATCATAACTTATTATCTTGGACAATCGATCATCTAAACTTTTCAATCTACTTTCTATATTGTATCAGTACAAGGATTTATGTATATCAATCCAGGTTACACTTATTATTATAATGTTTATACCTGTCTTTATATACTTTCCAAAAAGAGTATATACTCCAACAAAACTCTACTCTACTTAAATATAAGGATAATCAACAAATGGATTACATGGATAAACTGTCTTACAATTACCAAAACCTTTCATATAATACTCTAATAATAGATTTATATATATATATTTCATTTATTTTAGATTTACAATGTATTGTTTATTAAAAAAATCTATTATTTAATATATATATACATTTAACGAATATTATTTTCAAATGATCAATTCACAAACTAAAAAGAAATTGCTTAAACTCTTTAAGAAATTAGAAGAATATGAAGTTCATTCAGAATCTATGAGATAAATACTCTGTCAATAAGATGAATTTGAACCTTATTCTGTTTTCAAGAAAATCTGCAATTCTGGACATATTAGTTCATAAGAGATCTATTAATTATTATAATAGAATGGAATGATAGTTTAATTGGAATAAGTGAATCCAATAATTAAATGGTATTCATAAAAATGTGATAATCGACTTACTTATGCTGATTTCTTGTAGATAGTACTTCCAGCTAATAATTTAGAATTAAGAAACCTAGTATCATAAAAACCTACATTTGCAAAAGATATATCTTATGAAATAGAGTATGGTGTATGCAGAATATTTTATAAAGAAATTCAAATTGCAGATGAAATTCAAGCTTATAAACAAGATCTGGTTTAGTCTCCAGATTTTGATTATCGTATTGCTTTCTAAACTATTGATTAATTCAATTCTGGATTTATACAATTAGATTTATTAGAACATTTTGTAGATAGAGATTGCAATGCATTAATGAGAAGATTAGATTAAAATAGAGATAGTTAAATTGATTTAGAAGATTTCAGAATTGCTTTAGAACCTCAATATGGAAATATATATTCACAAAAATCATCAGCTTCTACTGTAACTTCAGTTAAATAAATAGAAGTTTAAAATCAATTTCCAAATAGAAGAGCTAAGTAGAGTGTAGCTAAACATATTGATAGAAATAAGAAGATAATATAATAAAAGAAAGTATAATGTTATGATATGGATTATTTGGCAGAAGCATTAAAGATTATTTCAGAATTAGAATATGAAAATGAATTTAGAAAAGAAGAATTGGGATATCTTTAATATGATTTTCTTGAATTATTTTCATTTTTTGATTAAGATAAAACTGGTAAGTTGGCACCTGGAGATGTCAAAGCAGCTTTAGAAGAATTAGAAATATATCCTACCTAATCATAATTATATTTATGGATGAAACGATATGATATTGATAGAGATGGTAAATGGAATGTAAGAGAATTCTTAGCTGCATTTAAACCAATAAACTATTAAAAAATTAATATTAGATAATTAGATAAAGAAATATTAAATGCAGTTAAGAATGTAATTAAAACTGAAATTGAGAATGAAGTTGCTATTGAATGTATTAGAAAGAAATTATCACAAAGACCAAATTTTAATTTGAAATCTTTATTTGCTGTGATTACTTCTAATCAAATTATAGTTGAATAGGAATTAAGGACATTCCTAGAAAATCATGGAGTTTATTTGGATGAAAAAAATAGGGAATTATTAATGAGAAGATTTGATAGAAATGAATAATAATATATTACTTATAGTGATTTCCTTAATGAAATGCAACCAAAATAACCTAAAAATTGATTTATATGTATTTTCATTTTTTATTATGATATTTATTATAATTAATACAAATTATTACTCTAAATAAATTAACGTTATTTTTTCATTACAATTCTATATTTTAGCTTTATTTTCTCATTTACAAAATATACTCATTATCAATTAGAAATTCTAAATATCAATACTATTTTTGTATTAAATTATTAGAAAATAAGAAACTATTTTAAGTATTGTAATACGTTATTTATTATTATGATTTTGATAATGTATCTATTCATTTTTGAAATACTTATCGGAACTAAGGAAATAACTCTTTATTAATGCTTAAATGTTGAATAACTTTTTAATTATTCATTAATTGTGAGATATAGAGATGTTTGAATTTAATTAATAAAATATATTAAATTATTTATAAATGTATTTTTTAACAAAACACGTCAAATATTGAAATGTGATTGTTATGAAAATCCAATACTTTTTAAGTTAAGCAAACCAAAGAATTTAGATTATCTATGCTTAAACTAATTTTTCAATAGTAATTTCATGATTATGAAAAAAGAACATAGAAAAGATATAGAGTTTATTTACTTTTTTAGAAAAATACAAAGTTTTAATATTGTTATCACCCATAAAAATAAGCATGTTATTTCTTTTACAATGTTTTTTCAACATAATTTAAGAAAATATAACAAATCATATTTGTAAATGAATACCTCTAATAAAATTATAATTCTTTAAGTAATACTATTTATAGATTTTATTTAGTATTGACCATAGATGATTACTAATTTCAATAAAATTACTCAAAAACTTAGCAAATAAATTACTACAACTACAACGTTTATCAATTAAATATATTAAGTCAATATAGTTATTTAATTATTCAATTTCAATTTCATGAAGACAAATAAACTCCTTTTTTATAAAGTGATTTGAATATGAGAATATTGAAATCATTTATTTATATGCTCAATAATTAGGGATATAAATATTAATCTGATTTGTATATGCATTCATTATAATTAATTTAATAAAATAACCTGCTACCACTCTAGTAATATGCGGTAATTGTAATTATCTTTACTAACTGAACAATTAATTAATATTATATAATTTATACTAGAACTGTATAAATTCAAAAGATATTATGAAATTTTCTTTATATATATCCCCAGTGAGTAAAAAGCTTAATTTCATATTAAATTTAATGAAAGATTGTACAGCAGAGCAAAATTTCATCAATTTCTTACAACTGGAAAAAGATGGAAGTTAATTTGAAGAATATTCTTCATAATTGATTATCTCAAATCAAGAGAATCCTTCATTAACTTAGATAGCTGATTTAAATGTTATGCCATAAAATCATTAAGCCAAAAAGATAAAGAAAAAGAAACGAGTTGATTTCCATTATAAAAGAAGAAGAAGAAGCAATAAAATTTCTGAATTAAATAACACAACACCATTCAATTTTAATGAAGATTAGAAAATATTATCACTTGTACTTGAGCATGGACCAAAGTTCTCTGTTGTTTCTAGATACTTTAATGATAGAAATCAAAATGCTATCAAGAACAGGTATTATAAATATCTTCGATTCAGGTGGGATTAAGTACTAGGAAGGTAATAAAAATTTTCTATATTATTTCTAGTGATTATATACATCTTAATTGTAGAAAAGAGGAGGACCAATTTCAAAGCTAAGACATGGAATAAATCATTTAAGGGATGAATTTCTTTCCTGAAGCTACAAACATTTTGTCATCATTTATACAAAGAGTCCATTCTTATTTTAATTGATAATATGTTCTCATATGTTTAATTTTATGTATACAAGATGAATAAGTGCTGATATATAGTTAATATTTTTAAAGTTATAAGATCTCCTTCTTACTTTAAAAATACGCAATATATGATTAAATGTTATATGAGCGAATAAACGTATTGGAAAAATTAATTTAAAGTAGCCTAACGATTAGCTCAATAATTTTTCAAATTTCAATTATAGAAGCTAAGACCTTAAAATATCACTTTTAGTCAGTTTTTAGTAATATATGTTAATAATATATTACTATTAGAACCTATTTGTTATAGTTTCAGATAGAAAAGGAATTCTAGAAAAAATTTGTAAAGTAATGACATAAAGAAATGTATTAGTATTTCTTAATATTCATTAATTTTAATCAATAAATGTAAAACGAATTAATCGCCAGTTGACAGACAAATTATATATTCCTAAATAGTCTTAAACTTTTATTAGTCTATAATATTTATCAAAATTAGACTAGAAAATTAGAATAATTTTATTCTTAAGAATTTTATCGAACCTTCTTTCTTATCACATTTTAAGAAAATAAAAAAATGAATAATGAAATCTACTCATATTAGTAAATAAACTAAGAATTAGAGTATATTTAATTATTAAGTGTTGTTTATATTTTTTATTCTATAATAAGAATAGAGTCATATTAGAAATTTATTATAATAATAATAAAATTTAATAAATAAATTATTGAATATAAGAATCGGTAGAATTAATTAATTTTTGTTATTAATTTATCAATATATACTCTTATCAACTTCTTTTGGAAATGGTTTAATATCAGTGTCTAGCTCTTATTCAATTTAAACCAAAGTGTCTTTATCTGTTTCGGTTATAAAATTAACAGCCAAACCTAAATGACCAAATCTAATTATTATATAAATTAATAAATTACCTTCCTGATCTACCTATACGATGTAAATATGTTTCAGCAGTTCTTGGGAAATCGAAATTTATGACAACATTGACAGATTAAATATCAATTCCTCTAGTAAAGAGATCTGTAGAGACAAGACATCTACCTACAGCTTTTCTAAAACTATGGAATACTTTATTTCTATCCTTCTAATTCATTTTTGCATGAATGTAGCTAATAGAATGATACAAAATGCATACAAACATGAATACCCAAATTCAGTAATTTTTTGAGTCAATAATTCTACTCTTCTTGCTGAATTGCAAAATATAATTGCTTAATTTATTTCAAGTTTGCTAAATATGAAATTTAAACAATTGACTTTTTATTTCTCATCAATAAATAGATAATATTATGTTACACCCTTTAATGTTAATTCTTCCATAAGATTAATTTCTTGTATTTATGGAACATGTTCATTAATAAAACCTTTAACATCAACAGGAAATGTTGCAGAAAACATCATAATTTATACTTCTGGAGGTGCAAATTAAAGTATTTTAACAATAAGTGGTTAAAAATCAACTGAAAGTAATTTATCAGCTTCATCTAAAACGAAATGTTTTAATTTAGATAAATCAGCTAATTTCCTTTAAGCCAAATCTAAAATTCTTCCAGGTGTTCCAACCAATACATGAACTACCTACAATCATTTAACTCTCTACCTATTTCAATCTATAGATATCTTCTTTAAAATCAGTGCCTCCTGTTGAAACCATACATTCAACCTTCATATACTTACCAATCTCTTTTACTAGACTAGAAACTTATAAAGCTAATTCTCTTGTAGGCACTAAGATCAGACTCTAGATCTGACCTTCTATCTCCATCATTTCTAGAATTGGAATAATGTAAGCTCCTGTCTTGCCTGTACCATTTTTAGCTCTTGCAATAATATTTGATCCTGCCAATGCAAATGGAATAGACTCTTCTTAAATAGGAGATGGCTTCTCATAATTTGCTGCTGCCAATCCTTACATTAATTCTTATTTCAAATCGAACTCTTCAAACTCTACTCCTTTTGTCTTCGTGACATCCTTACAATTTAGGCAAAGACCTTACACTTGTCTTATAACGTGTATCCTTCGGTTTAGGTTGTTCATCTATTGTTTATGTTGTTTGTGGCTATTATGAATNATTAATTTTTGTTATTAATTTATCAATATATACTCTTATCAACTTCTTTTGGAAATGGTTTAATATCAGTGTCTAGCTCTTATTCAATTTAAACCAAAGTGTCTTTATCTGTTTCGGTTATAAAATTAACAGCCAAACCTAAATGACCAAATCTAATTATTATATAAATTAATAAATTACCTTCCTGATCTACCTATACGATGTAAATATGTTTCAGCAGTTCTTGGGAAATCGAAATTTATGACAACATTGACAGATTAAATATCAATTCCTCTAGTAAAGAGATCTGTAGAGACAAGACATCTACCTACAGCTTTTCTAAAACTATGGAATACTTTATTTCTATCCTTCTAATTCATTTTTGCATGAATGTAGCTAATAGAATGATACAAAATGCATACAAACATGAATACCCAAATTCAGTAATTTTTTGAGTCAATAATTCTACTCTTCTTGCTGAATTGCAAAATATAATTGCTTAATTTATTTCAAGTTTGCTAAATATGAAATTTAAACAATTGACTTTTTATTTCTCATCAATAAATAGATAATATTATGTTACACCCTTTAATGTTAATTCTTCCATAAGATTAATTTCTTGTATTTATGGAACATGTTCATTAATAAAACCTTTAACATCAACAGGAAATGTTGCAGAAAACATCATAATTTATACTTCTGGAGGTGCAAATTAAAGTATTTTAACAATAAGTGGTTAAAAATCAACTGAAAGTAATTTATCAGCTTCATCTAAAACGAAATGTTTTAATTTAGATAAATCAGCTAATTTCCTTTAAGCCAAATCTAAAATTCTTCCAGGTGTTCCAACCAATACATGAACTACCTACAATCATTTAACTCTCTACCTATTTCAATCTATAGATATCTTCTTTAAAATCAGTGCCTCCTGTTGAAACCATACATTCAACCTTCATATACTTACCAATCTCTTTTACTAGACTAGAAACTTATAAAGCTAATTCTCTTGTAGGCACTAAGATCAGACTCTAGATCTGACCTTCTATCTCCATCATTTCTAGAATTGGAATAATGTAAGCTCCTGTCTTGCCTGTACCATTTTTAGCTCTTGCAATAATATTTGATCCTGCCAATGCAAATGGAATAGACTCTTCTTAAATAGGAGATGGCTTCTCATAATTTGCTGCTGCCAATCCTTACATTAATTCTTATTTCAAATCGAACTCTTCAAACTCTACTCCTTTTGTCTTCGTGACATCCTTACAATTTAGGCAAAGACCTTACACTTGTCTTATAACGTGTATCCTTCGGTTTAGGTTGTTCATCTATTGTTTATGTTGTTTGTGGCTATTATGAATCACTTTGTTGCATATTAATTATTTAAATAATATATATATAATAATAGTATCATTCTAACAATTTTCCAAAACATCTACTCAATTATGGTGTTTACAATATCTTTCTACTAAATAATTTAATGTCTTATTTATTTGCAGATAAACTTTTAAATTATTTCTATAATCCTTCTAAGTATAATACATCCTCTGGTTTTGCATTCTAAACTCTGTTAATCCATATTCTTTTGTCTTATCTAAATATACTTTATAACAAGTCATTCACTATTAATTTCACTTAATCAAATAATTGCTCAGTACATTCCTCAACTTCTTAATAAAAAAATCTCTATAATTCATTTATAACTTATTCATTAATTAATATCTTCTTATCTTATGGTTTACGATCATTATTATACTTCTCTAATGCTAAAGCCATAAAATCAAATGCACTTATTTTATTATTATCAAAATGATTTTTAAAATATTCCAATAACTCCTAAACCTCATCTACTTAATTTTCATATACTGTCGATATTATACTTTAAACTTAACAAATACTTAAGTATTATTTTTATAAATCTAAACTCTTTCTTGATTAATATATTGATTATCCTATTTCCTTTTCAACTATTGCTCTTAAAAACAGATAATACATTAAATCTTCTTCTTCATATTCTTTTTACAAGAATTTCTTAAAAAGAAATACATTCTCATCCTAAATTTGCATACAATCTTTTATATCAATTTATTTATTCTAAGCAAATCTCATTACATAAACTCCAAAGTCTTCATTAACAACATTCTTTAATTTTAATTATTTTGAAGCATCATCAAATTTCTTTGAATATATCTCTTATATCAAATTTATTGCATCTTCTCTTGTAAATTTTCTTCTTAAAGGTGATACTGATCTTGTTGGAGTTCTTTAGTGTGGTGATGCTCTCTTGATTTATTCTATCGATTTTCTAGTTGGATCCACATTTTCTTTATTTTATACTTTGAAACTAGCAGTGAATCCTTAATCAGATTGTTAGAATTCAATCTTGTTATCAACTAAAAATTTGATATATTTCTCTTTCTCCTATTTTGATAATTTAGCAAACTCTATCATAACTATTCGTTAGAAATTATTAAATACTATAATCCTGTAAATAAATAATAAAAAAATAGATATATTCAAATAATGATATATATATCTAATTTCTACTATATCTAAGTAGTTTTAACAACTTCTAATAAAACTATTATTATTGTTAATGAATTTTAAATTCTTCTTAAGTACTTTTATGTGGACTGTCCTTTTTCAAATAACTGCTACTTAAGAATAGACAAACTACTTTCATCCAGGAGAAAACTAAATTACATCTGACCTTAGATATTATGTTCCATTTCAATAAGAATTATTAGACTCAAAAGAAATTCAATTTAATGTTGAATTAATAAAATAAGTGAAAATAGAGAAACCACCTTTAATTCTTCTTTCGGATTAAGCTAAATTGTTTTATTTTATTAATTTCACAAAGGAAGAAGACAATATGATAATGGCATTGGATAATTCAACTCTATATTGTTTATACCTAATTAAAAATTATTTTTTGAATCAATAATTAGTTATCTCTCCTCATTTTTGTAATATAACATTACCATATCAATAATGCAACAAAGTAGTATAAGTAAATAGAGAAATTTTTATTAGTAATTGTTAACTTAATAATAAGCAAGCAATTTTATCAATTATTAATTTTGATGGTAAAGTATTTGATTAATTGATTTTTGAAATTGAATAAACTTGTGAAATCGAATTCTCTTATGGAGATTTTATTTTGTTTATCTATTATTAAAATTGTGAATCAAAAAATATATATAATGTTGAAATAGATGAACAATTAAATTAATATAAATCATTACAAAAGATCAATGTAACTTTAGAAAATAATATAACAAATTCTTCTTTTGGATAAGTACAAACAATAAATATTTGTAATAAGGAGAGAATTATTTTAATTTATAAGAATTTTATAGTGTATTATAATACTTCTTCTATCAGTTTTCTTTACATTTAATTAGACATTAATAATACAATTTTGAATTAATTTTAAGGTTGTGAAGGAGGATAATCTATTTTGTATATAGATGATAATAGTTTGTAGTTAAAATATGGTATGTATGATTTAAATATGACTAATAATTAATATATTAATGCTTTATTGATAGAAAAGATTCTAGTTTTACATTTTAAAGATTATATAATTGTTGAGATAAATGAATAATTACATTAAAAAATAAACATGTCGATTTCAGAAATAATACCAATAGTTGATTCATAATATTTCTTTGGACTTTATAAATCTGAATTAAAACTATTTTAAGTTTAACCTCCAAAATATTACCACTCATTTAATACTTCATAGAGAATAATATTTTTAATTTTTCAAAGATGGACTTATCTAACAAAATTTATTTTAATGTAAAGTAATATTGAAATTTTAAATGAAAGTGTACCCAGAATAATTATTGATAAGAAAGATATGATAATTGAATCTCACAATAATGATGAAATCTGTATTCTGTAATCTAAAATAACCTAAAGTTTACCAATAAATTTATAAACTATCCAAGATAATGATAGATATTATTAGATTAATAATATCTTAAATATTGAGACTCATAATTTGTATTTTGGTGAATATTCTAAAGTATTAAATTTTTGGAAATTTAATGATTAAACAAACGTCATTTTAGTCTTAATTTAATCGAAAGATCTAATCATTTTGATATTTTGTAAATAGAATAAAATTCTAAAAAAATAAAATATAAAAATAAAATAAAATTATATTGATATTGGAGTATTGTAAAATTCTAATATCTTGGTTTTTTATGAGGATCAAATTTAACATTATAAAATTGTTGATTCATAATAAATTCAAAAAACATAGTTTGTTTAAGATTAGAAAATAATAAAATTAAATAAATTATATAATCAAATTGTTATTTCATATGATAACTGTAAAAAATCAGTCGTAAAATCTATTGATAATAATTTCATATTTATGTAATAACCATAAAATTATCCCTTTGATTGTACATAAATGCAATAAATAAGTATTACTAATTTATATATTTTTCAAACTTATATTGTTTACAATTTAAATCACTTTAAATAGTACATTTAAGTAGGGAAAATAATAGATATTTTAATAGATGTAGATTAGAGATTATATGTTTTGATTTTAGATGAAGAGGATGAAATTGTACTCAAACTCTTTCGTTTTCTCAGAACTCCTGATTTCATATTTATTTACAAAATTCCTACTTATAATTTTAAATTCTAACTTTCTGTTAATTAAAAAATAGAGAATTCCTATTTAATGATTACAGCCAAATATTAAAATAAAACTTATTTACTAGTATATAATTTAAGAAATTAAGCCATTAATTCTTTAATATATATTACGGAAATTGATTAATCAAATTAATTTTATTNATTAATATATTAATGCTTTATTGATAGAAAAGATTCTAGTTTTACATTTTAAAGATTATATAATTGTTGAGATAAATGAATAATTACATTAAAAAATAAACATGTCGATTTCAGAAATAATACCAATAGTTGATTCATAATATTTCTTTGGACTTTATAAATCTGAATTAAAACTATTTTAAGTTTAACCTCCAAAATATTACCACTCATTTAATACTTCATAGAGAATAATATTTTTAATTTTTCAAAGATGGACTTATCTAACAAAATTTATTTTAATGTAAAGTAATATTGAAATTTTAAATGAAAGTGTACCCAGAATAATTATTGATAAGAAAGATATGATAATTGAATCTCACAATAATGATGAAATCTGTATTCTGTAATCTAAAATAACCTAAAGTTTACCAATAAATTTATAAACTATCCAAGATAATGATAGATATTATTAGATTAATAATATCTTAAATATTGAGACTCATAATTTGTATTTTGGTGAATATTCTAAAGTATTAAATTTTTGGAAATTTAATGATTAAACAAACGTCATTTTAGTCTTAATTTAATCGAAAGATCTAATCATTTTGATATTTTGTAAATAGAATAAAATTCTAAAAAAATAAAATATAAAAATAAAATAAAATTATATTGATATTGGAGTATTGTAAAATTCTAATATCTTGGTTTTTTATGAGGATCAAATTTAACATTATAAAATTGTTGATTCATAATAAATTCAAAAAACATAGTTTGTTTAAGATTAGAAAATAATAAAATTAAATAAATTATATAATCAAATTGTTATTTCATATGATAACTGTAAAAAATCAGTCGTAAAATCTATTGATAATAATTTCATATTTATGTAATAACCATAAAATTATCCCTTTGATTGTACATAAATGCAATAAATAAGTATTACTAATTTATATATTTTTCAAACTTATATTGTTTACAATTTAAATCACTTTAAATAGTACATTTAAGTAGGGAAAATAATAGATATTTTAATAGATGTAGATTAGAGATTATATGTTTTGATTTTAGATGAAGAGGATGAAATTGTACTCAAACTCTTTCGTTTTCTCAGAACTCCTGATTTCATATTTATTTACAAAATTCCTACTTATAATTTTAAATTCTAACTTTCTGTTAATTAAAAAATAGAGAATTCCTATTTAATGATTACAGCCAAATATTAAAATAAAACTTATTTACTAGTATATAATTTAAGAAATTAAGCCATTAATTCTTTAATATATATTACGGAAATTGATTAATCAAATTAATTTTATTCATACTATGATTTTACTAGTAATTCTATTGTATTTATTAAAGATGGAAAATTTTACTTTCATAAGTTAAATTAGATTTGTTTCAAATACACATTTTTTGAAGAAAATTTTATGATTTAGAAAAAATAATTAAAATTAAATTTTAATTCTTTTATCAATAATTTTAATTTCACAACTAAACTTTTGGTTTCTAAATTAAATAGTGATTACACACTTAGCTTATTGAAATAAGGATAAAAAAGAAATATTTATTATTAAGGTAATTTAGATTTGAATTAAATCAGAGGAAATATTATCAAATTTGAAATATAACCTACTTAAGATTTTATCATCAAATTACCTATAAATATTACATAAGAATACTTTATTTGTTCATATTATTAATCTAGTATTTGTTTAAAGAATAGAACTTCAATTATAATATAATCACTAAACATAAGTGTTCAACTACCATTTGAACTTGACGATAACTCTATTAAAGGTATTGTATATAATTAAGAGTCTCTTACATATTCAATATTTTTTGTTGATCCCAATCGTATTCTTTTATAATTAATGTTATAATTGGGAAATAATGAATCAAAATAATTCACAATATTAACATAGGATATTTTATATAATGTACTCAAATAGGAAGAAATAGAGTTAATAAATAAAGTGAAAATTATTAAAGAAATTACAATATTTTTTAATTAAAGATTATTTGGCTTAATATTTTATAATAATTATTGTTAAATAATTGATATATCAGAAATTAATAGTACATAATATTTTTTAATTGATGGAGCTTACTTATCAAATAATACATATGTATTCTTATATAGGAATTATTCAATTATTTAGATGAAGATTATTGCATTTAATAATATTTAATTGATTTCAGAATTTTAATGCAAAGGTGATATTATTTAAGAACATTAATTTAATCTTATAGAAATATTTGAAAGAGTTTACACTCAAACATATGATGATGTATTAAGTTAATTAGAAATTATCCATCTTGAAATGAAGGGAGATTAATTTATTATGAAATTTGTTATGATCTATATGATTTACTTTAATATAATATTTGAAATCTCTTTCAATAATATCAAATATGATAATTTTCATTTGTTATCGTATAAATTTCTAAGATATGAATAAAATACTCATTTTTTAGATTTACTTTATGCAGATAATAATTTTGTTATGATAACACTTTCTTCAGATTCAAATTCATTTATCAATGTTTATGATATCAAAGGAGAAATGAAATATAAAGATTATTTAGATAGTATTTAGAGAATAGAATCATTTTAATATAAAAAGATAGAAAAATATAATGCATCTCATTATGTCATTAATAATCATCAAAATAATAGGGTAACCTTTGTGACAATAAATTAATTGTAAATTGAGTGCTAAGGTCAATGCAATGAACCTTCAAATTTAATACTCTCTAATGATGTATCAAGCATAAGTTTAGAAATTTAATTAAACAATAAATCGTATTTAAATGTTATTATAACAATTAACTCAAGAATAATCATGACTAATCTAATTTTTATATTAATTTATATTAAATTCGGAAAAAGAGCAAAAAGAAATTATACTAAATAATTCTATGGCAATTCATGATATTATTTTATTTCATAATATATTATTAAGATATATTTTATTGTAATCAAACATTTTTTTTTTGGATATCTTCTTTCTATATATGGATGAGAATTATAATACAATATAATAAAGAATTCAATAATAAAAATTATTTAAATGTTTGGAGATACATTTGACACAATAGAAGAATAATTGAATCCAACAATTACAACCTATTAAACAAGAATGGCTAGAAATTGTGCTGATTATATGGAATTACCAGAGCTTCCAAGAGTGAAACATTTTGCAGGTCTAAAAAATTAAGGTGCCACATGTTACTTAAACAGTTTAATACAATCCTATTATATGTGTCCTGAATTTAGAAAAGTCATTCTTTCACTACCATTATGCAAAGATACAATTGAGGATTCTGCAAACTTGGCTTAAAATGAAAGCAGAAACAGATTCCTTTTGGAATTTTAAAAGCTATTTATTCAATTACAAAGTTTGTAATCTAAAGCAACATCAACAGAAGCCTTGACTTCTAGTTTTGGTTGGAATGATGGTTAATAAATGTGGTAACAAGATGTATCTGATGCAAATAAGTAAGAAATTAAATAATTATATTTAAGAGTATTATTTGAGACACTTGATCGATCTTTATATGGGACTCCATTTATTATTGCTCCATTTTATAAAGGAGTAGTATTTCATCACATAACATGTATGAATTGTAATAATTCTCATGGAAATGAAGAAATAATATATGATTTAAATATTTAAGTGGAAGGCAATAAAAATTTATCTGAAGGTTTATTTAGTTACATTAATCCTTTTTTATTGGATGGAAACAATTAATATTTTTGTGATATCTGTGGTTTTAAAGTATTATGATTATAAAATATTAATAATAGGTAGATGCATTGAAAGGAGATAAGATTAGAAAATTACCACCAATATTGACTGTAACTTTGAATAGATATACATTTGATTATGAGAAGATGCAAAGAGTGAAATTAAATGATAGATTTGAATTTCCTTTAGAAATGGAAATGGGAGTATATTTAGAAAATCCTGTGGATAATTTAATCTATGAATTACAAGGAATAATAATACATAGAGGAAATGCTCATGGAGGACATTATTTAGCTTATTTTAGAGATCTTTTAGATGAAGGAGATTGGCTAAGTCATATTCCAGAATATTGGCAAGAGAAGGAAGAATGTTAATAATAGAAGAATAAAAATACAGATGAAATTGACTATGATGAAGTGAAATTACCATTTGAGATTAGTAATCCTAAAGTAGCTCAAGGATGGTATGATTTTAATGATAGTTCTGTTATTCCAATACCAGTTAATAAGATATAATAATAATATTAGGGTTCTGAAAGTGCCTATATTCTGATCTATAGGGATAGGAATTTAGTAGCATCCAAATTGTCTAATGAAGAGATACCTAAATATCTATTTGATTATGTGAATAAATTAAATGAAAAAATAGAATAGGATAGATAGGCTTATGAAGAAGCTAAATAACATATTATTATAACAGTAGCAGATGCTTCTGTTGTTGATATATAAGATCATAAATTACTTAATGAAAAATATGAAAAGGTTACATACAAATTAAGATTGTCTTCTACTGTATAATAATTGTATGAATAAATTAATAAAGATGAATATTGGTTATTGGAATTTTAAGAAAATTATTAAACAAAATTATTGCATTTTACTAGATATTTGAAGAATTTAGAGAGTACATTAGAAGAAGAGAAAGTTGGTCATGAATCAACATGGATTTTAGTAAAGAAAGAATAAGATATTCCTTAAGTGGGATTATAGAAAGTGCCTTATAGACTTAATTTTATAATTAATAAGAAACCTTAGGCTTATTTATTATATACATCTACTACATTATTGGAATTAAAATAATTGGTATTTGCTTTGTCTGGAATACCTGAAAATGAATAAGAATTGAGAAATATCTAGAATTAGAAAATAATATCTGAATTGGCTGAAGAAACATAATTGGGAGAGATGCAATTAACTTTGGAGACTTAAATCTTGGTTAAGAAGAAGACTTAAGTTTAGAATGTTAATAAAAACTAGAAGGAATAATAAAATTAATAAGTAGGTGAGGATATTGTTTCTATTTTGGTTGAATAAGATGATAAAGTTGGAGTTTCAAAATTTTGTAAAGATTCTTTTTTTATATTTAGATGTGAATATTAATTAGACTGTTTAAGAATTGATAGAGTTTATCAAAGAATAATTTGGATTGTTAGATGCTCATAGATTAAGAAATCTTAATGGAAAGATTTTATTTTGTAAAACAGATCTTGGAGTATAATTGAAGGAATTTTAAGATTTTAGAGAAGGGTAATATATAATTGTAATATTATTTTAGTGGTGCAAGATTATAAATAGAGAAGGGAGAAGTTCCTGAAAATGGAAAGATTTCAATAGTGGTTTAATATAAGGAATAGAATTTAGAAATACATGTTGATCCTAGATAAGATAAAATTGAATAGATTAAAAATGAATCATGTAAATCTTTTAATTTGGATGCTGTTTAACATAGATTATATAAGGTGGATTGGTTATAAGTTCCTTCTGAAGGATTGACTGATGAAACTAAAACAGTTTCTTAATGTTATTTAAGAGATAGAGATTTACTTATATTATGTGAAAAGACAGCATAAATTGATTGTGAATTAATACGATTTTAATTGTATTCAACAAATACTGGATATCCTGATGATTGTGTATTTTAAAAACATGAAACAATGAGAAAGGATGCAACTTTAAAAGATTTGAAATAGATGATTATTTCTACTTTTGGATTGAATATTAATATTGATCAATTAAGAATTAGAGATATAAATAAAAATAGATTCTTTGGATAAGTATTTAGAAAATTAGAATAAACTTTACAGAAATTTTAATTCTCTACTAATGATATTGTATATTAGGTTTTAAATAATCCAGAGACACTTCAAGATGATGAAATGCTCTTATTAATAAAGGAAAGAGATCCAATTAATAAAATATATATTAAACCATAAGAATTTATTTTTAAAGTATCTAAAACTCCAACTTTATTGGAATTGAAGGATTAGATTTAAAAATTTATAGGAATTGAATAAGGGATTTAATTGGAATTGGCTAAATTTGTAATCTATGAATTTTAATGGTTACATTTAGATTCAAATATTATAGAGAAATAATTATAAGGTAAAGGTAAATAAGGTAAATAAGGAAATTAAAATAAGAAATAAGGTAAGAATTAATAATAATAATAATAATAATAATAATAAAATCCTTGTTTAAATTTAAGAAAAAATCCTATTAATTTAGGTGAAGGAGGTATTTTATAATATAAATTATATTAGATTTTATTGGATATAGATTAGGTAATCATCCAAATGATGATTTCTAAACAAAAGAAGATAATGAGGTATTTATAAACTTTAATAATGATTAGCTTAGAGAGAGAATGATTGCTGCTCGCAAAAATAAGCATAATGGTTTGGGATCAATAAAACGACAATAGGAATTAGGATTTGCTGTAGATATTGAATGAAAAATTCTATAAATTTATCATATTCTATATTGTTATTAAATTATCAAATGATTAAAGCTCCCAATACAATTAACCCTGATAATATTAGATCGTAACAACTCATACAATATCCTGTAAAACTTCCTTCATCATTTACTTTATTTGAGCTAAATGTGTATGTTCCCAAAGTATTCAAGAAGCATGTATTATATGAATATTTAGAAACTTAGGATGTTGTAGCTGGGATGCAGTTTCCATTTTACCATGTACATAATTATAAAGTCTTATATGAGGTATCTACAGCATAATAGAGACAATCTTCTTAGGTTCTTAAATTTGGACATCCAATAGGTTAACATGTACCTGATCCTCCTGTAATTGATTCCCATTTGCATGCCAAACCATTTTCAGCACATTTAGTAGCTGTTTTGATATCACTACATTAACCATATTATGCTGATCTATTGATACATGTCTTACTAGCACTGTCGTTTACACAAAATATATTGGCTACATTGCAATCAGAGAGACCTTATGTAGGATTTAATGTGATTGAAGAACAGCTCAAATTTTTCAATTCTGCGCATGCTGATCCATTCCAAAAACATTAAGAGTTTATTGCACAACTATATTAATCTTAAATGTCTGTGCATGTTATTTTTCCACATGATGATGATTAGAAATTCCATATACATCTATTAGCTAAAGTGCAATCCAATTAAGAAGAAATTTTGCCACAATCACATACATCTGAAGGAATTGATACAATAGCATTTGATGTCCCGTATACTGTTAATATCAAGAGTGATAAGCTTATAAATATCATAATTTATTGAATTAAATGATTTTTGCCAGATTATTTTCGTATTTTAATGATGTTATCATCTAATAATCCATAAAAGAAATTTATTATATTTAATTATTTTATGAATAATTATATAATTTTTATATAGAATGCATAAATTGATCTAATTAAAACATTCATTCACTTAGTAAATTAAAACACCATAGATGATATGATTTACTATACTTTAATTAAGTTAGATTTATCAATTTATACTTCAATCCTATTATTAATATAGATTTAAATACATCATAGAAAAACTAATATTGTATTTTAAGTCTTTTTAATATTATTTAGATTATTAGATTATAAATAAAATGGAAAGACAAATTAACTTTTAATTTATATGATTTCTATCTTGTTGTTAGTTTTACTTTTTTTTATATTGTAAATTAGATGTATAATACTAGAATTTTATTTACACCATTATTTTTTATTCACTCTGTAATTATATGAATTACATGAAGTAGAATCAGATGAATTATAGAATATTAATAAAGGAAATAATTATTTGATGAAGAAAAATTGTAAATTGAAATTATAAATTAAATAAAGACAACTCATTATGTAGTAAATAGATAACAAACTTATTTTATTTCATGATTCAAATTCTATTTAATAATTCAAATTTTTTATTAGTTACTAATTTTTATACTATTTTCTATTTAATTACTAAGTTTGATTTAAACACTTAATTTATATTTTTGTTAATTCATTTACAATAACATGATGTTGAATTTATAGTGTGTTTGGATCTTACAAGTCAATTAAAAATTATTATCAAAGAAATAATACTTAAATGATTTATAATAAATATAGCTTTATTGTTAAATAATAAAAATATATGATATAATAATCAAAATTCAGTATTAATAGTTTCTCCTTGTGTTTAAATAATTAGTGTGAGAATTAATGTTGCTATTCCAGAAACTTTCTTTATAGAAACACCTGAAAATCTTTATTATAGAATGCCAACCATTTCACTTTAACCCAAATCACCATTCTTTTTAAATACTTATACACATTATTTAATGACTTCATCGAAATGTCTACCTAATTTTTAAATCAATCTAGCTCTTAAATTCTAAATAATTTAATAATTATATTATACTTTAATCTATTCTGGTGGATTATCAAAATCATCTTCTACTATTTCTTACAATTATGATATCATTTAACTCATTTCATCATCTTTTTTAAAAGGATCTTTAAAAATAATTTTATTTTTTTTTCTTCTATCTTCAATAGAATTATTTAAATCTTAAAATTCAATATTAGATTTAGTCAATGTCAAAGGTGTACTATCAGCTTCTTCAATAGGATCTAATATTTTCTCTTCTTCTTCTTACTACTTTCTTTTTGGACTAAAAAATAGATTACTTTAATTATTAACTATTTATCTGCCACTTTATTAACGATCAAATGATTTAATTTATTTCTTTAATTAAAGATGTTTATCTGTAAGTATTTTACCACTCTAAATCCTTATATTCAATGAAGGTGATTTAATTATTTTATTAGGTGTTTCAGGACCTTCTGATAATTGATTCTTTCTTCTTGAAGACTACCTTCTAGGAGATTATGTAGGTAGATATGAATGATTCTATTTCAATTATACTCTTCTACTAAAATTAGGAGTATCAATAGTTCTTTTGATCTCAGGTAATTTGTGAACACTAGGACTAGCTCTTTATTTTGGAGTAGCCATTCTTTTTTTCAATTGAGGTAATTATTGTACAGGTTTTTTTGTTTTTACTATTTGATTAATTACTTATTATTCTTTTTAGAGTGTCTCACTTAAAAATGACTTGATTCTATCTCTGATTAATTGTTCACGTAAAATTTCATTGATAGTTGGTCGTCTATGTTCTTTACAAGATAGAAGTTTTACTATTAAACTATACTAGAAGTGAATGCAATTGCATACTTTCTTAATTTGATTGAATAACATTCCAAAGTTGGTGTAATTTCACATCTGACAACTTTTAAAGCAAGTTAAGCTATATTATCACCTTCAAATGGTGGTCTTTTATTACACATTTCATATAGAACTACTCCTAAACACCAAATATCTTATTTAAATCCATATGGTTGATTTTCAAACATCTCTGGAGCCATATAATATGGTGTACCAATAACTGATTTTGCACAAGGAGTAGTTGTTGACAAAATCTTAGCAATCCCAAAATCACCCAACTTAATCATACCTTCTTTAGTTAAAAACACATTTGATGTTTTGATGTCTCTATGAAGAATCTTTCTATCATGACAATATTTAACTGACAAACTCAATTAAGTGAACCAATCAAGTACTTAAGATTCTGATAAAGAACCTTATGTTTATTTTATCTTTTGAGATAAATCACCACCATCAGCATAATCCATAACAATACATAATTTACCCTTCTTTGTTTTGTATACTTCTCTAAAATTAATTATATTAGGATGTTTCAATGTGGACATTATTTTAGCTTCTTTATATGCTTGCTATAATATTTAATAGTAATATTCTCTTACTGCAATTTCATCTTACTTCATAAAAGAAACATCAATCTATTTAATTACACATAACTATCCATCTCTAATACTTTCTGCTAGATATGCTTTTCCATATGCTCCTGATCCAAGTAATTTGATTCTTTTATATACTTCTGACTCTTAGACTTACATAATTTAAAAATGTAATAAGTATAAAATATAGTATTTAATACTCATAATTTACATTATGTTATCACTTCTATTTTAACTGCTAATATTTTATTATATTTCTTTTATATCTTTAATTTTATAACATCGATAGATATATATTAATATTCACATTTACAATAAACTATTATAATTTAATAATAATAAATAATGAACGATTTACAAGATGTTAATCCATATCCTTAATTTGATGAATAAAATGAATCAAATCAATAAATTGAAGAACCTACTGCTTCTTAGGCAATTCCAGTCATTCAATAAAATATCATTTTAGACAATTCAACTCAAACAAGAACAATTGGAGAAGCTTCAAGTGAAGAAAGAAAATAATTTCTTATTCAAAGTCTTAGAGCCTTATCAGTATAATAGATATTCTAATTATTTCTTGCATTGGGTTTTGCATTTGTAGAAGAATGGGGATTCTGTAGTAATTTTTTCCTTTTCTTTTTCATTACATTGAGTCTACATTTATTTATAGTAACATATAAAGCAAGAGGAATGAAAAAAGAAGTATCTATAAAATGATAAATAAATAATAGGAAGGAGTGATGAAATTATAATGGCTAGGTTGGATGATATGCTATTCATTTGCAACAACTTTATTTTCAACTTTGTTGAATGTATTATACTTAGGATGGTTCTTTTATTTACCTTATCTAACTATGACATTTTTATTTCCTATAATAACATTAGGAATGATTATTCATCTTTCATCTGGAAATGCATGTCTAAATACTAAATGTATAGAGAATATTGTATCAATATAGAATACACAATTATATTCTTTGTAATGATCTTCTTCCTAGATCTATGTCTATCAGTATTTGATGGTGGATATATCCATTTTGGATATTTAATTGGAGAAGTTGTTTCATATCTTTATGGATTATATTTAACATTCATAAATGTTTAAATTTAATATGTAAGAATTTAACAAAATAATAATTTAAGCCAGTCAATGATTTATCACTAAACCTTTAATAGGAAGAAACAAAATTGGATTAAGTGATGAATTTATTTGATAGAGGAACATAAAAATTTGAAGTTGGTGTCATTCCAACTGAAGCATAGGAAATTACAATGGAAGAGATCAAGAAATAGAATAATGCATAAAGATTAATTAAATTGGCTATTTTGTAAGTTTTCTGTATAATATTCTATGTATTTCCATGGTTATATTTGGTTTTAATAACATGGTTAATGATGGCAGCACATAAAGCTGACACAAAATTTGTATAAATTGGTAAGAAATAAGAAGTCAAATTGAATGAACAATTTGTTGCCCCAATATTAATTAATCTAGATATATTGGGAGGATTAAAACATGCAATAGAATGAATATGTATAAAATATATAAAAATTCACTGTTATTCATTGAAATTTTAATAATAATGCAAAATTATGTGTATGACATAGATTCAATCAGGGGACTCAATCTTTCCTTAAAAGTACCATTAAGTCTCTTTGCATATATGGTAGATGAAATTTATAAATTCACTCTTTCATATTAAAGTGCCTTTTCACTCTAATCTATGCTTTAGATATTTTAGCGTGAATCTGTAGCATTAGACATTTCAGAGTCAGAATTTTGCATTAATAGTTATGTTTATTTGATTCGATTTGTTTAAAAGAATAATATAACTGCAGAACATTTAAGTAAATGGTTGAAAGAAAATACACTTGTTTAAGATGATCATAGAGAATATCTAATGAAAGTATTACAAGGCTTTGATCCAGAGACAGTTAAGAAAGTATTAAGTTTAGGTAAGTTGAAAGAATTGAAATGGACTGTTAATTAATATAATGGAGATGTCAAATATCCTAATTTAAAGAAATTATATATTTTATTAGAATTCCATATATAAGATGAGAAAGGTAATCTATAAAAATAAATTATTAATCTTACCATATAAGAATTTAAAATGCTTTAAATGGAATTTAAGGAAATTGGTGATATTTTGAGAAGTTTTATATGAAATTATATATATATACACTTATTATTTAAAAATATTATGTTTGTTTATCCAATTTATATAGGTACTATATATAAACTTTCAAATTATGATGTATAAAAAATCACTTTTCAGTTTTAGTTTCATAAAACTTTATGTATTAACTCACCATCTCATTTACTTATTAACCCAATTCTTATTACATTTACATTTTCAATCTCCTTCTATAACACAAAAACAAAAATAAACCAAAAAGTATACAACTTACTACTGCAAATGCTATCAAAGCCCAATTAATTTCGCTTCCATTACTTGGAGTATCATCATCTTATTATAATTATGCAAAACAAATAGTTTCATTTAACATATCTAAATTATATTATTAATCATACTACTGCATATATCTTCAGTAACACTTACAGCCTCTAAATTACCATGATATGGTTAACCATTAACTAAAACTCCTGGAAAATATATTATTCCACTTAATGATTTATTACCTACCCATTAATCCATTATTTTATTTTCTTGTAATTCTCTTGCCTTCTTTGAATCCTTTTCATATGAATTATCTATACATTCACCTATACTCTTTTATTTTACTATCCAATTTTCATTTGAACAAACTCCATAATGTTGAATCTAAAAACAATTCTTATCAAAATAATCCTAAATTTTCTTATATTCTCAATTACCATATACTCAAACCATTGAGTTGCATTATTTATCCATATACAATGTTATCTTAATTATTCTTCTATCACCTATCTTCCTAAACCCTCTCCTCTCATTTGCATACAATATCTACCACCTCCCATACATTAATCATTTGATTCAGTAAAATTCAATCGTTAATCTCTCTTGCTCACATCTACTTCATAACTAATGTAGAATTTCACATCTTTCTATAATTATTTATAGTATTATTAAAATTCTCTTATAAATTTAAAGCCTCCCTTATCATTAAGGGTTATGAACAAAATTACTTCAGGCTGTAATATATGTTTATGTTGCATACTTTTTCAACTTTCTTTGAATCTTTGAATGTAATTACACCATATGGAAATATCTCCTCTACATTTATAAATTTCTTCATAAAATAATCACCATCCTATTTGCCAATCTCAATTGTTGGAATATGCACCTTGAAACCCATACCATCATTATTCAATTCAATTGTATTACTTAAGTTCTCCTTATTACTTACGATTATCAAAAGCTTAGCCCCCAATTCTTATGCCACATATGCCTAATTCTAAGATATAAAATTACTTTTGTTGTTGCTGAACAATTTCCTACCCTTCCAATAATCCAGTAACTCTCCATTATTGGTAACTTTTTGATATTTGATTTATTGCATAGATCCAATTGATTATCTTCAAATTCTTTAGGAATCACCAAAAATCCCCCTAAAGTGCGTCCATATGGAATGTGTCCAAAATTTGCTATCGAATAATTTACATCCTTAAATTATCTTTCTACAATGAATTGTAATTTTGCACTTACTGAATACAAAAAAATAGATAATATCAGCATCTATTTTTGTTTAAAATTTTTTATAATTATATTTAGAATTATCTTTGATAATTTTTACTAATTCATAAAAAAGGTTTGATTAAATCAAAATTGATTGTCTTACGAATAATTTCATCGAACTATTCAAATTATATCCCTAAATTTATAAAAAGCTCAATTGTAACTTATCCTTTCATCATATAATCAATTACCATTCAAAATTAACTTAGTCAGAATTACTAATTCAACTAAAAGATAAAATGTTAACAAAAAATAGTTAAAAAAGAGGCTTGAGAAATTTATTATGAAGATTAAACATTTAGGACTTTGATTATATATGTGTTTTAATATTAACAATAAATAATTCATAAAATCATTAAATCCACTTTTATACATTTATCAAATTATATATATTAATTTGAAATCTTATTGATTTAAATTTTTATTAAACTACTCCATTATAAATTTTAAAGAAGATACTCTAAATTAATTAATACTACTAATTATTCAAATTCTATTAAATTTGACTTATTTAATTTTATATTTAGATGTAGTGGTATATTTTATACAAAAAAATTGGTTATCAAATAAGTTTATAATAATGATAATAATAATTTATTAAAAATAAGATCATTATATATCTCCTGATATTTCTAATAATGAATGTTAATGATGCATTCTATATACTTTTGATGCTAATAATTAATTATAAAATTTACTTTCTTATTATTTCTAGAATGCCTTCAGGAATGATTAAGGTGATTGTGGTAACAATTTTCTATCAATTTTAGTGTTTAAATTTGATGCTGATGAAGTAGGTTAATTTTCTTTTTATCTAGCATAATTATTTTATTAGGGAACTTCTTCATATTTCTATTCCCTTGAAGTAGAAGCACCAATAGCAATTTATTGGGTTGATTATTTCCAAAAAGGCTTAGGCATAACTGATAGAGAGTCTCTTCCATAATCTCTAGAAGATTAAAGTCCTTCATTTTTAGGTGATCCCACTAATATTATGAATAAGTATTTACTTTATGACATACTTCTACTTGGTTATTCAACTTAATCTATTGTATCCAAATCTAAGAATTTACGATATGCTGCACAATTTCTAACGGGATCTAGTTTTGCCAAATCTCTAATATATGATTGTAAAGCTCTTCTTCTATCTTCAATAACTGTAGGTCTTTTAGCATTAAAGACACTGCCAATATCAGCTGTATTGATGATGGCTGAACTTGATTCTGGCATTTTCAAATTTGGATATTATTGAATGATTGCTTAATGTAATTCACAAAAGTTTTTATATCTTCTTGAAATAGTCCATTTCTTTAAATTATATTGAACTCTAATCATATATTCAGTATAAGGTTTATTATCAGGAGTTTCTCTAACCATGGTTTGATTAATTGAAATTTATAACTAACTTAAATCAATTGGAGGTGGTAGAGGATGAGTAAGAGATTGATTATGAGTTTATTAATGAGGTTAATTTTATTATTATTATTATTATTATTATTATTATTATTACTATTATTATTATTATTGTTATTATTGTTATTATTAAGTTGTTACTATTGGATTACAAGGGTTATTATCAATACATGTTGATAAATGTTAACTAAAACCATTACTTTAATATTGTCTATTACAATGTAAACAAACAATACTGGAACTATTTTTAAAGATCTTTTTGAATTTTTTTAATTTAGTAACTTTTTCTTCTAATTATTTACATCTCATTTCCATTTTATCCATAGCAGCTGAGAGATTTCTATTTGTTTCTAAAAGTTCAAGAGTAGACTCTTAATAATCATTACTAGGATTGTTTTAAGCTTGAATTTAATAAGTAATATATACATTATAAAGCAATCAAAAGAGCATCATGTAATCTTTTGTTTTCATCTAACTAACTCTTCAAGAATGTAACTTAATTTTCTAAATATGATTTTTCAACCATCCATTCACTTTATTATCTAGCTGTTTATTTTTTTGAATCAATATCATTATTCAATTCTTGTATTTTTTTTTCAAATTCTAATTGTAACTTTTATATCTCTTAAGCTCTTCCATAATCTAATGAATGACATTTTTATTATAATTATTCATTAGCTGCTTTTTAAGTAATCAATTCTTATCTAAGTTTTTTATTTTCATTTTCTAACTAAGATGATCTATCATTCAAAGTTTATATTTCTTTTTATAAATAAACATTTTCTTAACTAATTAAGGCCAATTATTTATCATGCTATTAAATTTAATGTTGACTTTATTATTAAACTTATTGTGTTTATTATTAAATTTATTAGAATTATGTTTTAAGTTGTAATTCACTTTTTGATAATAATTCATTTTCCTTATATAATTTTTCTAATTTGCTACTAGATTGTAATTCTAATTAATGTTTTTCATCTTGTAATATCTTTAACTCTTTCTCTAAATTCTATATCTTATATTATAATTATTTATTCTCTTAATTAGTTTATTGAGAAGCTTTTCTTGTTAATTTTTCTGCTGCCTATTAATAAATTTATAAACTCATTTCATCAAATAATTATGAAACTTATTAATTTCTACCTACTTCCTTTTGAAATTAATCTCTAATTTTAAACATTTCTGATTATAATTCATAATAATTAGAAAATTGATCATTTTTTAATTTATCAAGAATGTTTTCAATATGAGGTTATAATACTTTAGATTGATGATTCTAAATAATGATTTCATAAATACCTTTAGATTTCTTTTATTACTTTATTTAAGTTCTTTAAATTTTTCTTCAAATTATTCTGATAATTTCTCTGTAAATTATTTTAGATCATCCTCAGATCCTATGGCTTTCAATTTGAATTACTTCCTAACCTAATCTAATAATTGCTATTTAACAGTAGGTAAATCTTAAATCACCTAAGTCTTCATCTTCTCAATTTATTATTCAGCCAAATTTATACATTCTCTAAGTGCTCTCTCTCCTTCTGCTTTACATACATAACCCCATGCAGATTCAACATTTGGCACTTTACCTCCATTTATTAAATCAACATAAGCCTTTGCCAATTATAGTAATTAAATTCCATTAACCATGCTTCCTTAAACAGATTTAGGTTTAATTCGTTTGAATATCTTAGATCTTGCTTCTTTCAATTACTAAACAAACTCTCCTCTAAAATTATTATCATGTAGAGAATCCAATTTTTAAAGATCTTCCTCTCTCTCAACTGGCCTAACCATTGTCATACAATCACGTTCTCTAAAGAAATGTTTAATCATTCTTCTTATACGATTCTTTTATTCCACAGAATCAGATAATCCTTTCTGTAATTCTAAGGCATTTTCAAGATATTGTTTTGGATTGATGGAATTTCCTTATTGATCCACCATTTGAAGAGCAAAATCTCTAACAATCCATAAGAATTAAGGAAATGTATTCTCGTTATTTTATTAAATGTCCTAATTGTTATGTAATTAATTATTACCTTAGCAAGATTGACTATTAAATTCAAAGTGTTTAAGGCATTCTCATCAATGTTGCCAACAGAATTGTAAATAAAATAACTACTTAATAGAAGACTGAAGAGAAATATCCTTGTATCATGATTAACATTCTCATCCATACCTCCAAAACCTTCAGTATCAATAATAATAGCCTTCATATCTGGGAATTCAGCATTTTAAGCTGTGATTGTTTAACTCCATATCCACAAACCCTTGGTACAAGGATTTATTGTAGGACCTACTGAAAAACCTCCTGCTTATTGATTCAGAAGAACTCGATTAACAAAGAAACTTTTCCCAGTTCTATATTTTCCTACAATGGAGACAACTCCAAGTTTTTCTGAGCCCAAGGAAGTTAGAAATTATTCAGCTTAAGGATCGACCTGAAATTGATTGTTGATGTATTTTATGAAAGGAATTGCTTTTGGTGCATTCATTTTTTGAATTTTAATTTAACGATTTATTTAACATAAAACCAAAAGGATGTAACAATCTCAAAATTTGTTTATTTGTATTTTTGTATATATACTTAACAACAGAATCTGAGATCATCATAACATATTAACTCAATATTTTATTGTAAATTGATATTATACAATTCTTATGTCTATTAAGTAAAAATCGATTAATCATCATTCAATTAACATTCCAATTAGTGGTCGTTCCAATTGAGTTCTCACATTCATATTCAATAGTCCACAATACATAGGTAACTTAATCTTATAGATTTCTTTTTATCTATTTGGATCTTCTTCCATTATCATTGTTTACTCAATTGAAAATTAGGAATTCAATGCAAAATCAATATTTAAGAAATTCTGTTTTTGATGTAAGTGAATGATTTTGTAAAATTATTCAATCCACACTATTTATAGACTGCTTGAATATTTAGTTACGAAGGCCTTGTTAAAATATTATATGTACTTGAGAAACTTGACTTACTATACTTTCTTAATCCTAATTAATTTGTTCAATCAAACTTGGATTGACCAATTCAATCAAATACATGAAATAGAGTGGATCTTAAGTAGCAATAAAGAATATCTTTTAATTTAATTGATAGTTTTCTGACTCAAATATCTATTGTAATCCATCAAAATTAGGTATTTCAAGGTATTTCTTATCTTTATAAATCACCTATCTCTACTTTTTAATCTTTAACTAAGTAATCATTTAAAGTAACTCAAACTAATTGTTAATTGGATAATGTACCTTATCAAATTTATTCTCAAAAGCAGGTAAATTTATTGAGAATTTGATTTAGGTTTTAAGCTTATCTAAAGTGTGAATACTCAAAAATTCTGTATTAGGTAACCTACCCTAAATGGATTATAATATAGGAAGGAATTGGAATCAGGAACTTGACCATGAACATGACATTAGAAGCAATCTTCAAAGAATTAATATTCTTTAGAAGAATGTAAGTATTCTAAATGATTTTAGATTTGATTTCTTTCTTCACTTTACTAAGTAGCATAGTAATTTCTTAATTAAATAGAAACTTAGTTAGGTGTTTTGTTGGGACTATATAATAAATTGAATAAAGATACTAGTCTTAGATGGGTCGCTTAAGATAATAAATGGTCTTTCTGATTTTGGTTATGGCATCATCATCAACTTATCGCCATCAAAATTTAGCATTTTTGATTGATTCCATTATAAATCTATTTTCAATCAACTCTTCTTATTCTTAGTAATGTATCTAGATGTATTTAGATGTTTTACTTAAATAATTTGTATTTCATTAGCTGAATTATCTATTGTGAAAATATATTCAGTTAATTTGGAGAGTAATTGTGTTAAATTTGTTATATTATTAATCATGACTGTTTCTATAATCCATCTCTTCTTTAAAATTTGATTCTCATCAACATAAACAAGTGCATGACCAATGTTAAGATTAAATAAAGAACTTTGGAGGGAATATTTAAATTTGGATAAAAAAAACAGCAAAATCAGACAAAATGATTTCTTAATCTCTTAAGCAGCATTTCTCAACAAATCTAAAATATAGACTCAAATTCTTTAGGTTATAATTAAAGTGAAGTAATGTGAGATAAATTATTAGTTGGTTTATCAGATATTTAATGATATGTTCTTTGTCTATGAGAATGGAAAATAATGGTTTATTTATTTTTTCAAGATCACTTTGAATAATTCCGAAAAGAAATGGAGGTTAGATTATTTTATCGTTATCATTAAAGTATTGATTAGTATGCAATGATGGATTTCTGGGATACATAACAGATAAATAGGTGTCATTTTGAAAATAACCCTAGATATTAGTATCACTTAATTTCAATTACTTTCCACAACATTTAAATTGAGGTAGCCAGACATGATGTTGGCATTCTTATTTTTTATCAAATTTTTCAAAAATTTAGTTGATAAAGGATTGAATATTAGATTTTGATATCTAATTATGTTAGACTTCCTAAGGAATCTATTATTTTACTGTAATTTAATACATTTTAATAAATGGGTCAATTGTGGAGATCAAATAAATCATACTATTAGAGATTTCTAAAGAACTTAATTAAAGAATAGAGGGTTCAAATTCATTCATAGTTGGATGCTAAATATTAAATAAATTTCAATTACAGCTATAATTCGAAGATATGGTTAAGTGTTGTTACGATAGAACTCACTACTGAAATATTTAAAATGGAGTTTCACATTGAATTATTGAAAATATACTGGAGTCTAAATTGGGGTGCTAAATTCAATTTGATATTTATTCTTAATATCATTTGGTTTCTAAATTAACATGTACTATAAACCATATAATTTCTAATAGATTAATTTATTTATTACTTTGAGATATGGAGATAAAGCCAATATATTATTTTCAAATTAGATTATAGTATTTTTTCCAATATTTGCACAATATTTAGCAATTAGTAATTCCTCATTTGTTATTAAAGTTGATTATGTTTATGTTGCATAAATTCTAAACATTTTCAAAGTTACAGGAGTGAAATAATATCTACTCATATGTTATTAAACATTTTAAATTTTTATTCGTAAATGACCACATTAAATTTATTATAATCTATATTCTTTGAGAATATGAATTTCAGATCTATCAATACTTTTTTGATAGATTAATCATTACTACAACAAATTGCCAATGATCTGAAATTGTCCCCTTATTTTATCAACATCTTGATAAAATGTTGGATTATTATAGTAAATTTCTATTTCCATTATGGATCCTTATGAAGATAAATTTAATGTAATATCCACCTTCTTCCTTAATAATCTTAATCTATTGAACATATTATTAATCCATTTTCATTGATTCTTACAATTGCAGCTTCTTACCAATACATTAATAGATCCTTTATATGAGTTATAGGATATTTAAAACTTTCATTTAATTCTTAAACATTATTTGTAGACCAATTCTCTAAGATTGCTTCCAAATCCTTATATGAATATGATACTAAATTAAACTACAAATCCTCTGCAGTATAAATGACTTTACTTGCATAAATAGACAAATTAATAGGATTTTTACATAAAAAACCAGGTGAACCTGCGTAATCTATATTTGAATTTTCATAAGATTACTTATGAAAATTTAGTGATCTATAATCATTTATCTATTTATTAAAATATTCTTAAAGATCTATCATATTATCAATGTATTTCTTATCCATCTTGTGTTTTATCAAATGATCATACAATTATTATTCATCTTTAGCTCTAGATATTTCTTTTAGACATCTTTCTCTTCCGATAATAAGTTGATGTAATGTTTTGACCACACTTTTATTATTTGTAATGCTATCAATTTCAATCTTGATTAATTTATCAGTTTAGTGTTAATGTTCCAATAACACATTATAGTAGTACTTTTAATGACATTCAGGTATGTCAGGTCTCATATTTTAACCACCCTTATTTTTAAACAATTTTTTATTTTATATTTTTTTATTTTTTAGCATATTAATAGGAATAATATTATAAATATACTTAAGTAATTTAATCAACACTTTTTTTTGAGATATTAATCAAATAGAAATTTATATCTTTTTTTTATTTATTTTTATCTACATTGAAGTTGTGCTTCCTATATTTCTCTAAATAATCGGATATTTCTATAACATCATTATTTCAATTTTATTTTGATAAGCAATTATTTATATTAATATAAATGGGAACATGTTGTGGTGCTTAAGTACCACATACTGGAATTATTTTTGAATTCTCTGCTCTTACTTATTACTCTCGTTACGCCATTATTATTTAGAGAGCATATAGAAGTATTCTTTTGAAAATATTTTATATGTAGAGTGGAAACATAAAAAGGAAGGTTAAGAGAATCGTTTAATAATCACAATTGATAGTTAACATAGTCATGAACCTCCTGCATTAGTAGATGTTTCAATTGATAAACCTATCGAAGTAATTGAAGAAATTGTATTTTCAATAATCATCCTAGATTGATCATACACCTTAAAATGCTATTAAGGTAGATCGTAAATATAGTGAATATTCAACTATTGTAAATAACCTGATCTTTAAAATTGGCAATTTTAATTACAAGGAATATGCAAAATAACTTAGTTATACAGAAGAAGAATTAGCATTACCTCATCAAGAACCTTATCAGTTATAAGACAATACTGTATATGTTGGATAATGGAAAATGGGATTGCGTCATGGTAAAGGTAGAGCAATCTTTCCAGATAAAAGTATCTACGATGGCTTTTGGAAGGATGATTAGATGTGGGGATATGGCAGACTTATTTTAGGAACAGGAGACTATTATGAAGGTCAATTTTTAAGGAATATGGCTAATGGGAAAGGAAAATAAGTTACAACTTTAGGATATTCGTATGAAGGGGATTGGGTGAATGATAAACAGTAAGGTGAAGGAATTGAAAGGTATCCAGATGGTACGAATTTTAAAGGAAAGTTCGTTGATGGAATGAAAACAGGTTTTGGAGAATTTCATTTTTAGGATGGATCAAGGTATATTAATTAAATATATATATAATTAGTTATGTTGGACAGATTATAGAAAATAAGTTTAATGGGAAAGGAGTCTTTAAATTTGTTGATGGTAGAAAATATGAAGGATAATGGAAAAATAATTAGATGGATGGTTATGGTACATTTACATGGCCTGATGGAAGATAGTATGATGGATATGTATCAATTTATGATATCTTTTTTAGTATGTAAAGGATAAGAAATAAGGATTTGGAGACTTTACTTATTAAGATGGGTCTATGTATAAAGGGAATTGGTTTGAAGGGAGGGAACATGGAAATGGAACATTTTATTCAAAAAGTGGATTGTGCAGAGAGGGAGAATGGTTAAATGGTAAACGAGTGAAATGGTTAGGTCAGTATTAGACTGCTTGAAGATTTTGATACTTAATTAATATATATTTATAATTTTGCTGTTAAATTTTATGTGGCAAAATACAAATTCTGTGCTGTCAAATATAACAAATAGTTACGAAAACACAAGAGGTTTTGATGGTTTAGAGAAGAAGAAGCCAGCTGAAGACTTTATTGAAGAAGAAACAAGAAACAATTACAGTGAGGAGGAAGATATGAATAAGGACTAGACTAAAGAATTTGATCCTAATTAATGGAGTTTAGGTAGGTTTGAGATGGGTAGGTATTTAGGTAATGGTAAATTTGGACATGTTTATTTGGCGAGGTAAACACTATAATTTATATCCAATTAGAGAGCGTGAGAGCAAATTCATATTAGCTCTTAAGGTAATAAGCAAGAGACAATTGAATTTGTGTCAATTAACAGGTTCATTAACTAGGGAAGTAGAAATTCTAAGTCATTTGAAACATCCAAATATTATTGGGTTTTATGGTTTTTTTTAGACAGAAAAAAGAGTTTACTTAATGTTAGAATGGGCTCCATTAGGGGATCTATATGGATTAATGAAGAAATAAACAAATAGAAGATTTAGCGAGGAGATGGCATCAAAAATTATTAAATAAATCACTGAGGCTATTGGATATATGCATTCCATGAATGTTATCCATCGAGATTTAAAACCAGAAAATATTCTATGCTTTAATAATGAAATCTTCAAGATATCTGATTTCGGATGGAGTGTACATACTCCATCAAATAGAAGGAAGACATTATGTGGTACACTAGATTATTTGTGTCCTGAGATGATCAATTATTAATCTCATGATAATCGAGTGGATGTGTGGACTATTGGTGTTTTAGCTTATGAATTAGTCGTGGGTATTAACTCTATATTATTTTTCAGGCAGACCTCCCTTTGAGTCTCACAATGAACATGATACAAAGAAGAAGATTATGAATCTAATGTTTTAGTTTCCTAATTGGAGCAGTAAAGAATTTCAGAATTTTGTGAAAGGGATTCTCTAGCATGATTGCAATAAGAGACCTTCCATCACTCAAATATTGAATCATCCTTGGATCACCAAATGACTTTTATATATATATAATAATTAATACATAAATTTAATTATAATATATAAATCTAATGGTACTATTGTGCAATATTATTCGTAGATCAGATTTATTTTACTTTAGAATAGATAAGGTAAAACCAGATTATCTAAATGGTATGTCTATTATGACGATGCTGAAAAAGTTAAATTGCAAAACGAAGTCCATCGATTGATTGTTTGCAGAGACACCAAGCACACTAATTTTCTTGAAGTATTCATTTCTATTAATTATCATAGTTTAGGAATTACAAGATCATTTATAAACGATATGCTGGTTTGTTTTTTGCTTTGTGTGTCGATGTATCAGACAATGAACTTACCATGCTTGAATTAATACACCTTTACGTTGAAGTCTTAGACAAATATTTTGGAAACGTCTGTGAATTGGACATCGTCTTTAACTTTAACAAAGTATCAAAAATATTAATTAAAGGCATATTCAATCATAGATGAGATGATAGTTGGTGGGGAGATAATTGAAACATCTAAGTAAGTCATAATTAATGCTGTCAAGAATATTGAATTATTAGATTGATACATTTTAAGTCATTTATTCTTTTTTTTCATCTTCTCATCATTTCATATATTCTGCCCGCATAAAATACATTTACAAAATTTTTCAAATCTAAAATAGTAATGTAAATATAATCAACTTTGATTAAATCACTTGTTTCAATTTTAAGCTTATTTAGTTAATATGTTGACTCATTTTTACATGTTTATTGAAATAAATTAAATCTCTAAAATTAGAATTAGACTATAATATAAGATAATTGCTCTTATCAATATCAATTATACTAAATTAATTAATGAAAATCATTTTAACGATTATTACATTTTTTATAATCTTGATAGAGTTATCGAAAGAAGTTTTTGTATGATTTCATAACGAATTATTAGGCTTAAGAACTATATTTTGAAAATGAAATTGTATTTTAATTTGATAAAGTATTTACAATAAATATAAATGATGATTAATTTAATGAAACAGATATTGAAAATTATAATATCGAAATACTAAAAGAGATTAAAATAGAAAATGAGAAATAAATTGAATTAAATGGAAATGAAAAAATATTTAGTTTTAATTAGAATACTTATAATAATAATAATAATAATAATAATAATAATAATAATAATAATAATAATAATAATAATAATAATAATAATAATAATAATAATAATAATAATAATAATAATAATAATAATAATAATAATAATAATAATAATAATAATAATAATAATAATAATAATAATAATAATAATAATAATAATAATAATAATAATAATAATAATAATAATAATAATAATAATAATAATAATAATAATAATAATAATAATAATAATAATAATAATAATAATAATAATAATAATAATAATAATAATAATAATAATAATAATAATAATAATAATAATAATAATAATAATAATAATAATAATAATAATAATAATAATAATAATAATAATAATAATAATAATAATAATAATAATAATAATAATAATAATAATAATAATAATAATAATAATAATAATAATAATAATAATAATAATAATAATAATAATAATAATAATAATAATAATAATAATAATAATAATAATAATAATAATAATAATAATAATAATAATAATAATAATAATAATAATAATAATAATAATAATAATAATAATAATAATAATAATAATAATAATAATAATAATAATAATAATAATAATAATAATAATAATAATAATAATAATAATAATAATAATAATAATAATAATAATAATAATAATAATAATAATAATATTAATAATAATATTGATATAATTTTATTAAAGAATGGTAGTATTTAATGTTTATATGAAATAGATAATTACATTTAAGATGATGAAATAATAATAAAATAAAAGGATTGTTAAATATTATTAAATCAATAAGATTGCATAAAATTATATAAATTAGATTAATTCATTTATATAATTTAATGTAATTATAATTCAACTAATACTATTATTTAAATTCTTAATTAATCATAAATATTTGATCAAATGATTATTCCAATTCAATCAAATTGTTAATCTGATTCAATTTTTAATAATAATCAAACACTAATCATATTTAATAAATTATGTTAAACTACACTATTTTATTCTATTTCAATATCGAATCTATCATTTTTAAATCTTACTAAATATGATTTATTAGATGATTTTTCTAGCCATGATATTCCTCAAAGTGTTCTAATAAGTATGTTATTTTGTTCAAGCGAGGAGATATCAATCAACTTTCACAATATTTTCGTTTTGTATATATTAAGTGAGAAGAAAATGTACATTCAAAATCGTTTTGAGAGTTATGCAAAAATTGTTTAAAGATTATCTAATTGTGAAAATATTTAAGATTATATTGAAGAAAATATCACAAGTAAATAACTGTTGATAAACTAAAAGAAGATAAATATGAGTAGCTAATTGTATATCTAATCTTATTTGGTTAAATAATTATTAATTTTACATTATAAAGAAGAATTAGTTGCTATGTTTAATACGAAAGTAAAATAACACATAATCTATCCCTTTTCAAATGTATTAACTTTGACAGAATTACCCTTAATTTTTGCAATATCATAAAAAACTTTAATTATTTATAGAGTGTATTATCCTTAACCTTATTTTCAAATATAGAAAGATGGTAAATATGTTAAGAAAATTAAAATAAATTCTGGTTCAGTGCTTCCATCATCAAGACTGGAATTTAAAAAGTTTGAAATTTTCACTGAATAAAATTTAAAATTTTTTCTTTAATCTTCTAAAATTACATATATTGTAGAAAAATTAAATGATAAAATTTGTATCAATCACAACAAATTATAAAAATCAAATCCTTTTGAAATACTTATTGTTTAGTAAAAATCACAAATTATCATCAATTAATAAAATTCTGTTCTAAATCTTTGCTCGATAAACTTAACTTCTCAATAGAAAATGTTTGTTATTTAAGAATAAGATGTGTAAAATTATATTATATTAAAAATACAGCATGATATTTTATTGATATATGCTTGTGAATAAAATTAACTTAAACGTTCTCATAAAATAAAGATTGAAAAACATTACATCAATATTTTTTCTTTTCCTAATGTTTTGCGAATTGTAATTATATACCATTATAAAATAATTGTAATAGAATTGAAAAATTAATAAATTATACAGTAAATTCAGAATTTAGATCTTTAAATTTTGAATTGTGTTTAAATTTCTGATGATATATTTATTATATTTGAAGATTGTAGAAAGGCCATTATGAATATAAACTCAGAAAAAATATAGGTATTGTTTAAATAAACATACCCCTTTGATTGTAGGGTTAGTCTTTAGTTCATATTTAATGAAGTCTTTATTACATAAAATGAAATTATAATATCTTCAAAAAAGAACTTTAAAAGAAAACTGCTTAATTTAGAAAGTAACAAAAATATCATGACAATTGTACTATACTAATATTTGATTATAGTCAGACAAGTGTAAAATGAGTATTAATTGAAATTATTTTACATTCATGAAGAATAAGCTATTTTCTTATATAATTTACCAACATATGATTTCAAAATCACACATTCTCTAGAATATTAAACCTATGAATCTTACCTTATGTTAAAAGCATTTAAGTAAAATATCAATTATCTATTAATTTATGATATAAGTAAAACAGCAATATTATCTCTTATTCGAATTACAAAGATTGATAAAGATGAAACATTTTTTTTTATATTATCCTCAAATTAGATCCTTTATTATTTTGAAGGCTAATTTATAATTTAAAACATAATCTCTACTTGTTTCAATTATTGTAATAATTTTGTAAATGAAAAGTTTCTATTCTAAGAAGAATTTAAATTAAAAGTAATTTCTTAAATTAATAATTAAATATTAAATGTTACTTTTGAACTGATTACTCTAAGTGATGATTATAATTTAAGGTTACTTAATTAAGAATAAATATTAATTTCTAATAATACAATTAATTTAAGTAACATATATGGAAGCATCGAAAATATAGAAATTTTCCCTCAAGAAGAATATTAAATTATATATCCATTAACATTTACTCATAAAGAATAGAAGTTTTTGAAATATCAATCAGCTGTATGTTATAAGATCCCATAAAGAATTAATATTAATTGTTTCGATGACAATCAATTTTAAATACATGAGAATTCAATTTAGAATATCTTGCATGTTGCTAATTAAAAAAACAAGACATTTTATCAAGTATATTACGAATTAAATACACACGAGATCAATTTAATGTTAATTAATATTGAATTGGATCAATATTAAATCAAAATTGAAAAAATTTAAATTCCTGATGATCTTTATAAAGATCGATTAAGTATGAATTTAATTATAATTAAGGTCATAATATACATATTATTAAAACGACATAAAATCTCTCCATCTTTTAATTGTTAAATGGCAAAAATTATATTACATTCAATAACATTTATCATACAGAATTAAGTTCAATTTTTAAAGTCAATAGAAATTTGGTATCAAGTTATCTATTCGATTCAAATTTTGTTTTTATATCAGAATCATCATAGCATATCAATATAATGTTTATTGCAATTACTTAGGTAAATGAAAAAGAAATTAATTATGATATTAGATTAGATTGTAAATAGATTTTAAATACAATAATTCCAGAAGGAGTGATATCAATATTATGGAATTTATAAATGAGTTTGAAAATATTTTAAATTCAAATTGAAAAAGATCTAATACATTTTGAAATTGGTATTTTTTTCCATTAGTATTTTGCTTTATTGATGTCATTTAAAATTGATAAAAAATTTGAATCGATGCCTGAATTATAAAGTACAACAATCTTGAGATATTAAAAGGAATTTTAATTTGTTAGATTGCTCTATGTTGATAATAATTTTACAATATTGATATTAAGTAATAATGAAATTCATGAATTTGTTTATGTTTACGATATTCGCAGAAGAAAAGTTTAACAAAATATTGATAGCATTTAGAAACTAATTAATCAATAATATACTGCAATTGAAAGGTATAATTAATCTCATTATATCCTTATATCTAAGGATCGAATAATATTTATAACTCTTGATGAGCCAAGATTCTCTTGTTAAACTTTGTGTTAAGCTATACAATCTATTCAGTTTAGTAATGAAGTATCAAAAATATAAATTGAAATTTCAGATTTTTAGTAGAATAAAGTTCATAGAGCATAAGTTAGTATAATTTTAGTTACGTTTATATGTATTTTACTAATTCAAAAGTTTTTAAGGAAAAATAATTTATAAGCAAAATTATCATCGAATCTATAAAGTTAATTGAAATGAGTTATAAAAATTATATTAAAATAATTATTCCATAATAATAGATTATTATCTGATAGATTAGGATTAGCAAATCTGGTATACTGTTCTGTAAAATGGATGAAAAAAATGATTATGCTTTTAAAAATTAGAATAGATATCTTCAAATATTAGAAATGTAAAGAAGTTATATTTTGCTCTATTCATTTTTAACTCCAAAAACTAAAACTATGAATAAAATATATATCAATTGATTACATTAAATTTCTTATTGAGTAATTAATAAACTCTTTGAAATGTTCTTAAAAACATATTTGCTTCTAAAAATAGCTCTCCCTTAGACTGTAAAACTCTTCCTTATTGTAGATGACTTTTAATGTTTATCCTGATGAAAATATTGATGTCAAGGTTTAGTAATATTCAATGGATATAAATGATAATTAATTTAATGAAACAGATATTGAAAATTATAATATCGAAATACTAAAAGAGATTAAAATAGAAAATGAGAAATAAATTGAATTAAATGGAAATGAAAAAATATTTAGTTTTAATTAGAATACTTATAATAATAATAATAATAATAATAATAATAATAATAATAATAATAATAATAATAATAATAATAATAAT